ATCCCGCTCTACCAGCCCCCTTTCCTCGGCATAGTCCAGAATGACGCTGATGGGTTGTGTCAGAGGTGTCCGAGGGTGCTCCAGAAGACGGGTTGTGCCCAGGCCTTCGGGTTGTTCTTGTAACCTCCCCCGGACTTGGCTTGGCCATACCGGGGGCGATCACCCGAGGGGGCTGGACCTTTGGATTGGTGGAATGGAGCTCTCGGCTCCCGATGGTTCTTGTCATCTACCCTAGGACGTTGGTGCTCGGGGTTTTGGTGGCACTTTTCCACCTCCTCGGCCTCTGCGTACTGGTCTCCACCTGGAGGGACCTTATGTAGTTGCGAGGGGGTTCGATGATGAGGCTCCTTGAGAAGTTCTCGGTGCGGAGAACCGTCTGAAGGAGAACCATAAGGGTCCCGTCATCGGCGTCGTCGACCTTATCCGTCTCTAACCTCCAGCGTTCCAAGAAATCCCAGAGGGTTTCCTCCTTCCGTTGCCTTACCGTCAGTAAGTGGGAGAAGTGTTTCCTTGATCGGTGCCTTCCCGCAAATTATGTCAAGAAAAGTTGGGCGAGTTCTTGTCATGAGTCAATGCTTCCCTCGGGCAGTCGTATGAACCATTCGTACGCCGGTCCTTCCAAGGTGGAAAGGAACTAACGACAAAAATATTTGTCCGACGCCCCCATCATCATCATGCTGTTTTGGTACCTGCTATAGTGTTCCTGGGGATCCGTCTTCCCCTCATAAGGCTTTATGGGTGGTCCCCGATACTTACGAGGGATCTGAGCTGCCAATACCCTCGAGGTGAAAGGCATCTTCGTGCGAAGCTGGATGACAGGTTCCCCGGAGCCCTCGGCTAGTTTCCTCTGCATCTCGTCCACCTTGGCCAGCATGGCGGCGTATTTGGGGCCCACCTGTGAAGCGGAAGCCGTCGTTTGGGCCTGATAGGCATCCATCTCGTCGAGGCGGCGCTAGAGGGCCTCAATAATCTCGTTCCTGGGGTCCTTCGGGATGGCCTCCTCCCCCTGCGATTGTGCGCGGGCGGAGTGAGCTTGGTTGATTTGGTGTCTGGCGTCATCAGCAAGGGGCAGCTCCTTTCCCTGGTCCGGGGGGGGGGGGGGGGGGGGGCTCTCGTCTGCTCTCGAGATGGATCCTCCGCTCTCTTGAGGTCTTTGGAATGCCTTACCACCGAGGCGGTCTTGGACCCCTCGGCGATCTTGCACTCCTCCGAGCCTCTCGAGGGCGGATGTCCGGGGCCTATCTTTGTTCACACCACGCTGGTCCAGGGACTGGACTTCCTGGGAGGTGGTGTCCTGAGCCACGCCCCCCTCGTTGTTTCCGGTTCTTGGAACCGGGCACATGAGGGGGCAGAGGTGGTGGAAAAGTTATGGCGTTTTCCCTGACATGTGCCTAGGGCGGCACAAGTGCCCCGAAGGCGCCAGGATTATGAGTGATAGTGTGGATGAAGGCTGAAAAAGCCGACTGCACGTCAATAGTGAGGACCGGAGGGCTCACTTGGTTTTCGCTCCGGTTCTTCCTCTGAGTCTCGATGTCGAGGTGGGCATCAGGAGCGTTCTTCTGGAGCTAAAGGCGCAAGTCAGCAGCGACCTGCTCCATTTCACCGAGTGCCCCGCCTTCGGAAGCTATGTTTGAGGCTCCAACGGTCTTGATTTCACCGAGGCTCGGATTCTTTTCTTCAAGGGTCTTGGACTGGGCACGAGTGGCTCTTCCCATTTCGATAGGTATTTTTGTGTTTGGTGAGGGGGGGGGGGGGTTCTTACTTGATTGTTTGAACCTCTCAACGAGAGCACCAAATGATGGATAGTGTACCCGGGGGGTAGCTTATCCGAGGGGTTATTGCGGGGAATAACCTAGAGAGAGGTCAGAGCAAGTAAGAGAGAGAGTGAATATGTATTCAATATAGAGAGTTGTGTGTTTACAAGGAAAAACGGCTGCTATTTATAGTTGCCATAAATGCTAGGCGGGGACACGTGTCAAACATCTAACGGCTGAGGGTATCCTCAATCGGGGTGGCACCGACAATCGCACATGCACCGCATAAAATGCGGTGGTTGGACGTGACGCCGCATTTAATGCGGTGGTTGCCTGTCTCTAAAAGGAATCTTCGTCGAGTCTGCTATATGCCGAGGGCATCATATAGCTGAAGGCATTATATAGCCAAAGGTGTCATACAGCCGAGGTCTACATACTGTTGAGGGCACAGAATAGCCGAAGGCTAATATTCTAGCCAGAAATTCCCATAAGCTTTGTTGGTCCAATACCGAGTTGTCTTATAGAATTTGGAGCCTTCGGCCACAGAGCCGAAGGCATCCAAATGTGCATCGTGGGCTTCTTCATGTCTGGGCCGCTACGTTTGGGCTTTGTGTGCTCATTGGGCTTGATGGGCCCATGTAGGAGAAACAGGAGTCTGTGGGCCGGGGGTTCCTGGGCCATATACTCCATCATATACCAACATTATAAATTATGAATTATTCAATTTCTATATGTATATATATCAGGTCATTGTAAGATCATGCACATGCGTACAAGAGGGCTGCTTGACAATAAGAAGGAATTAAAGGTTAACTGCTTCTCAAATTTACACAATGGCATTAGGAATAAATGCATTGCTAAATGAGGAGCAACTTAAGGAATTTAGAAACACTGCATTTGGGAAAATGTTTGACATTGGAAATGTGCAGTGGGTGACAGGACAATTGCTGATTTTAATAGTAGAAAATCATATAAAAAAGTTGAACAACAAAGTCGATCTAAAAAGTCCGCTTCATTTTCAACATCAATGATAGACTTGTATACTTCTACAAGAAAGAGCTTGCATTACTAACATGATTTAAGATGGGAGGTGAGAAACATGTGATATCCACACAGACTAGAGGAGACATTTGGAAACGAGAGCATATGAAGAGTCTGACAATACAATGGTGGAAAAATTGCTTTTGGATAGAGTGAAGGTGGTTGTGCTGCAGTTAATTGCTAATTTTCTGATTGGGAACCAGAAGCCTGTCAAATGCCTAGAGCTCGACTCGGCCCAACGGATCAAGCCCATCAAGGAGCGGGAGTTCAACGGAGGGAAAGGCCAAGACGGCTTGCCTACCGGCCTGACCGGGAGCCTCCTTTCCAGTCCAACCAGGAGTCTGCCTCCAGCCCAATGGGGAACCTGCCTCCAGCCCAGCAGGGAGCTCGCCTCCAGCCTAGCGGGGGCCTTCCTTCCAGCGGAAGCCTGCCACCCAGGGAGCTCGAGCGTCCGGCCAGCCAGCCAGGAAGAGTAACAGTCAACCGTTAATGCGCTATTAATTATGTATATAATTCTGTATTGATGTTGTAATTAGTTAGTCATTATTGTAGTTGGCAGTTATTATTTGTATACGTCTATAAAAAGCAAGTTGTAATTCAAATACAGACATGTTATTTATGGCAACCAAACTCTTGAACAACTTTCCATATTTGTACTCTCTAATTTCTACTTCAGTGTTCTTACGTAGCTTTCATTATCCCTCCAACTCCTACATATCTAGGAAAGGTATTGACAAATCCAGAAATTTCAATGACATGTACAATAACAATGCACCTCCTTCATCCTATAGTACGGAAAATAAAAACAACCAATTTCACAAATCAAGTACTTCTAAAAGAGCACGAATCTTGGTGAATTTTGGTGAAATAAAGGAAAATGGTGAGTTGAGACTAAAAAGAACCCCCAATCACTTGAGAAAACGGTCCAGCTCAGTTGGTTGTGACTCACTCTCCCTTATGGGAGATCCCGGGTCCCCGTTTATACCCCAGTCCCCCCAGCCGCGGGTAAAAAGAAAAACAAGGAACACCTGATCACATCACCTGAGTGCTACAAAAGCAAAGTTGGAGGCCATACCTAGCTAGCTCAAAAGAGTTCCTTTCAAAGAGAACCATGCTTATGGATATTTTTTTATTTCGTAGTGAACCCTATGTTGGAAATATGATGGAAAATATATATATATATTAGGGGATTCATTTATGAGTCCTAAGGATAAATGTATCAAATATGATTTGGAAACAATATATTATACATCAAAGTACAACTTTTACTTATTGGATTATAACTAACAAAATAATCCATAGTTGTAAAGACGGTAAAGTGATGTATTAATATGATGAATTTTTGTCACCTATAAAATAAAAGCTCCCATAACAAACTATTTTATCTGATAAGGAACATAGTTCAAGTATCATTTAAAATAACTTGAGCTGAGGGATTGCTTGTGTTTTGACAAAAATTGAGACTAGCTGAATCCAGACAGTTTTATTTTTAAATAATAAAATAAAATATATGTGGCAGCAAAGGTATTCAATTTTGAATTCAAAATTGAAATGAGCTACTTGGTCCAACCGTTATATCCATAATGGTGCTTAATGTTTTGGATTAGCATTAAAGTCAAGTTTCCGTTTCATGTATTTGATGAACATCAAATTCTGATTTCCGTTGAAGGAATTCCTCCTGGCTGCCTCTTTAATGTTTAAATGATACTCTATGAATATATAAAAAGTGGCTAGTCAATTTCTCTCCTGCATGGTCACAGAATCATTCTTACGTAGAAAAGAAAAACAAGTCTCCTCTCTTATTCTATCTCACAGACAAACTTTTTCCTCTTGATCAATTTGACTTGCATGCTTTTCATCTGTATTTCTTTTTACTCTCTAAAAGGAATGCATAATATCTGGTCATAGCTTTCATACACTTTTGAAGTTAACTCTATCAATCGGCAATATTTGGCAACGGTCGAAGGTTTTAGTCAATGTAGCTACACGCCTGAAACGTGGTAGGATTATCCTGCGAGCGAGCTAGCCAGACCCGTCCGAATAGCTATCGGGATACGGGGACTATCTTTCTTCAAGGCCAGTCCATTATAACGGGCGATCCTGTGATAAGTTTTTCTTATCTTTTCTCTTTATTTATTTTAATTTATTCTAATTAATATTATTATTATTTTCTATTCTTGCATTTGGTGGTTTGTCTGGTGATTTGTTTAAACTCGGGATTTTTATCTGGTTAAACTCGCATTTTAATATCATTTGACTAACAATCTTGAAGAAAGATATTATTTCTCGAGTTTTGGAAAATCCAAAAATGGCAAACTTGGAAAATGCTGTTATTTCCGAAAATGTTGTTGAGAATGATGTGAATGATATCCCTCAAAATAATGTAAATTCTGTGTCTGTGACTAACTGTGGAGACACATCTGAATATGTTGCTACGGGCTTGCACAGGGTTGATTTAACCGGAATGCCGGAAAAATTTTCTGAGCATTTTTTCAAGCGTTGGCAACAACGCATGAAAATTTGGTTAATCACCAAGAGCTTGCTCTCGACAATTATGACGGTGTGTCCACCTGTTGTTGAATCGGATCCCAAAAGTCTTGAACGCCAAGCTTTATGGCGTGAGAGGGATGAAATTGCAAAAGGCATGATTTTGTTGGGTCTCTCCGACATGTTATTTGATGTCTATTGCACCCTCCACGGCACGGCTAAGGACATTTGAGATGAGTTGGATAGGAAATATAATACTGAGGACCACGGTCTTGAAAAATATATTGTTTCTAAATTCCTACGATTTGACATGAAAGAATGTAAATCGGTGTTAGAACAGACACAAGAATTTGAGCTCATCTTACATTCTCTTCGTGAAGCGGATATGGAATTGCCTGAAAAATTTAAAGTGATGGCGGTCATAGAAAAATTTCCCAAATCTTGGGAAGATTTTGGTATGACTTTAAAACATAAAATGAAAAAGATCACTTGGAAATCTTTGATGCATTCCATAACTGTTGAGGAAGAGCATAAGAAAGCTGGCTACATTGCGCCTGTTGATTTTCAACCGAAGGCTCATTTTGTAACAGGGGAAAAACAGTCACAAAATTCTAAAAATAAACAATCATCATCTTTTAAACCCATAAAGGCCAAATTAAAAATTGCAAAGAAACCAAAGGCAAACCGACCATGCTGGAACTGTGGACAGATGGGGCATTAGGCCAAATTGTGTCCTAACAAAAAGGTCAAGGCTCAATCTGGGGGACCTCAAGTCAACATGGTGACTGGAGGGACTAGTTCTAATGGGTACGTTTCTATTAATCCTCAAATTTTCAGTATTTACAATTCCAATGAGTGGCTAATAGATACAGGAGCGAATGTGCATGTATGTGCTGATAAATCGCTCTTTGTTTCTTATCAGCCTGCGGTTGGAAGAACGGTGATGATGGGGAACACAAGTGCTGCAACTGTGCAAGGAATTGGAAAAGTAGAAATAAAATTTTCTTCGTGGAAAATTCTTTCTTTGCATGGGGTGCATCACGTTCTCGAAATTAGAAGGAACATTGTTAGTGGTTCCATTCTTGTTAAGGAGGGTTATGAGCTATCTTTTAAATTAAATAAAGTGTAATTTTAATTGGTGGAATTTTTATTGGCAAGGGTTACTTGTCGGATGGACTTTTCAAGATTGTGGTTGATTATTTTGAATTGAATTATGTATCTGAGAATTGTGATTCTTCTTGTTTATGGCATTGTCGTTTGGGTCACGTTAATTTAGATTCTGTAAAAAGAATGATGAATTTAAATTTAATCCCTAAGCACTCTATTGATAAAATTAAGAAATGTATGGTATGTGCTACTACTAAACAAGTAAGAAAACCTTATCATTCAATTGATAGAAATTCAGAATTACATGAATTAATTCATACCGACATTTGTGAGTTTAATGGAGTGCTTACTCGTGACCAAAAGAAATACTTTATCACTTTTATTGATGATTATTATAAATATTGCTATGTGTATCTACTTAAGGGTAAAGATGAAGCTCTTGAAAAATTCTTAATTTTTAAGAATGAAATAGAGAATCAAACTGGCAAGAAAATTAAAAGGTTAAGATCTGATAGGGGAGGAGAATATACTTCTAATTTAGTTGTACTAGAATGCCAAAAATATGGTATAGTACATGAAGAAACACCTCCTTATTCACCACAATCAAATGGAGTAGCTGAACGGAAAAATAGAACTTTTAAAGATATGATTAACAGTTTATTAGAAAATTCTGGATTACCTAAGTTTATGTGGGGGGAAGCCTTGAATACTGCATGCCATATTCTGAATAGAATTCCCATGAAACATAAAGATAAGTGTCCATTTGAACTCTTGACGGGGCGAAAACCAAGTTTGAAATATTTTAAAGTGTGGGGCTGTCTTGCAAAAGTTTTAGTCCATGAACACAAAAGAAAGAAACTTGGGTCTAAAACTGTTGATGCTATTTTTATTGGTTATGTTGAACATTCTTATGCATTGAGATTTTTGGTTATTAAATCTAAAATTTCTGGCATAGATGTCAATACTATTGTAGAACTTCGTGATGCTACTTTCTTTGAAGATGTTTTTCCAATGAAAACGGGTGTGCCCCAAAATACTTCTTTTAAAAATCAAGAAACCACATTTAATTCAATTCCTGATCAAGTGGAAAAGATGACAAATGTGGGGGTAGAATCTAGTAATTCTAGTCATGTTGATTTTGAATCAAATGATCTAGATGAGCCAAGACGGAGCAAACGTGCTAGGATCACTAAGGATTTTGGAAGTGATTTTATCACTTACAATATTGAGGGTGATCCAATTTCCTTTAGAGATGCAATGGCCACATCCGAGGCTATTTATTGGAAGGATGCCATTAAAAGTGAAATGGACTCGATTGTTCAAAATGGAACATGGGAGCTCGTTGACCTTCCTCGTGGTTGTACCACTATTGGATGTAAATGGATTTTTAAAAAGAAGTTAAAACCAGATGGAACCATTGATAAATATAAGGCCAGATTAGTTGCTAAGGGTTATAAACAAAAAGAAGGTATTGATTTTTTCGATACATATGCTCCTGTTTCAAGAATGACCACGATAAGAATGCTCATAGCATTGGCCTCCGTATATGGTCTTAAAATTCATCAAATGGATGTTAAGACAACATTTCTTCATGGTGACCTTGAAGAAGAAATTTATATGGATCAACCTGAGGGATTTGTGGCAAAAGGCAATGAGAGAAAAGTTTGTAAATTGATTAAGTCCTTATACGGACTTAAGCAAGCCCCTAAGCAATGGAACGAAAAATTTGATAAAATAATTTTTTCGTTTGGATTTACTCCTATAGATGCTGATCAAAGTGTTAATTATAAATGTAAAGGTGATATAAGCATTATTTTATGCCTATATGTTGATGATATACTATTATTTGGCACTAACGATAATATTATCTTTGAGACTAAGTCATTTTTGAAAACTAAGTTTGAGATGAAGGATATGGGGGTGGCTGAAGTAATTCTTGGACTAAAGTTGACTAGATCAACTGAAGGCATTTCTATTTCTCAGTCACATTATATTGAAAAATTAATTGAGAAATTTGGATTTAAAAATAGTAGAATTGCTAAAACACCCTATGATCCTTCAGTAGCTTTGTATAAAAATGAAAGTGGTGTTCCTGTGTCTCAATTATGATATTCTCAGATGATTGGTAGCTTGGGTTACTTAGCTAACTGTACTAGACCTGATATTGCATTTTCAGTGTCTAAACTGAGTCGGTACACTTGTTGTCCAAACAGAACTCATTGGGAGGCCTTAAATAGAGTATTTAGATACTTGAAAGGAACTATTTCCTTGTGTTTGCATTATGGTAAATATCCTCCCGTTCTTGAAGGATATAGTGATGCAAGCTGGATAGCTAAGAACTCCGGGAGTTATGGGTGTACGGGCTATGTGTTTACATTTGGTGGTGGGGCCGTTGCCTGGAAGTCCACTAAACAAACTGTACTTTCTCGGTCTACTTTTGAGGCTGAATTATGTGCGTTGGATACTACAGGAATTATGGCTGAATGGTTTATGGGACTAATTTCCGAGTTACCTATATTCAACAAGCCAATTCCACCTATTTGTTTGCATTGTGATAGTATGAGTACAATTGCAAAAATTAGGAGTACCAAGTATAATCAAAAGACTAGGAGACACATTCAAGTTAGATTAAAAACTATAAGGAAATTTGTGTCTCAAGGGGTGTTTGCTGTTGATTTTGTTGGATCCAAAGATAATACAGCAGACCCTTTAACAAAAGGACTTGATTTAAATCAAGTGATAAAATCAAGGTTAGGAATGAGACTGAAACCCAATAACTATTCATCTACGGTGGCAACCCAACCTATCTGAGTGGAGATCCCATAAAGTAGGTTCAATGTGGTATAAACAAACTGTAGAATGAATTGTGCATCTCATTAAAATAATTTTATGAGTTCTATTCCTTGATAAGCCTTGGAGATGCTGAAGTTGCTAAGTTAGTAAGAGTTTAAGACTCTGAATGAGATCGAGCTTAATTGCAGAGTGTTAGCAATGCACTCTTGGAGATGCCCAACTATGAGAATGTTATTGTGTGGCCGCAATAAGAGAATAAGGGTTAATTCTCGATGACATTCTTGAGACAGGATCAGGACGCATGGCCGTAAAGCGTCACCCCTATAGATCGTTGCCATTGCCGTTAGTGTGTTGCTTTTATCCCACACTAACACAATCAAGGTTCGAGTTCAAGAACTCTGTTCACTCAGTTCCTGTGGGAGTTAGGAGTAAGAGCTTAGAATTTGGTTCAAACCGGAAGGTACCATATTTGAAAGCACACTATGTCTTAGAGTTGAGTCTACAACTATGGATTTGTGGGGGATTGTTGGAAATATGATGGAAAAAATATATATATTAGGGGATTCATTTATGAGTCCTAAGGATAAATGTATCAAATATGATTTGGAAACAATATATTATACATCAAAGTACAACTTTTACTTATTGGATTATAACTAACAAAATAATCCATAGTTGTAAAGACGGTAAAGTGATGTATTAATATGATGAATTTTTGTCACCTATAAAATAAAAGCTCCCATAACAAACTATTTTATCTGATAAGGAACATTGTTCAAGTATCATTTAAAATAACTTGAGCTGAGGGATTGCTTGTGTTTTGACAAAAATTGAGACTAACTGAATCCAGACAATTTTATTTTTAAATAATAAAATAAAATATATGTGGCAGCAAAGGTATTCAATTTTGATTTCAAAATTGAAATGAGCTACTTGGTCCAACCGTTATATCCATAATGGTGCTTAATGTTTTGGATTAGCATTAAAGTCAAGTTTCCGTTTCATGTATTTGATGAACATCAAATTCTGATTTCCGTCTAAGGAATTCCTCCTGGCTGCCTTTTTAATGTTTAAATGATACTCTATGTATATATAAAAAGTGGCTAGTCAATTTCTCTCATGCATGGTCACAGAATCATTCTTACGTAGAAAAGAAAAACAAGTCTCCTCTCTTATTCTATCTCACAGACAAATTTTTTCATCTTGATCAATTTGACTTGCATGCTTTTCATCTGTATTTCTTTTTACTCTCTAAAAGGAATGCATTAAATCTGGTCATAGCTTTCATACACTGTTGAAGTTAACTTTATCAATCGGCAATATTTGGCAACGGTCGAAGGTTTCAGTCAAGGTAGCTACACGCCTGAAACGTGGTAGGATTATCCTGGGAGCGAGCTAGCCAGACCCGTCCGAATAGCTATCGGGATACGGGGGCTATCTTTCTTCAAGGCCAGTCCGTTATAACGGGCGATACTGCGATAAGTTTTTCTTATCTTTTCTCTTTATTTATTTTAATTTATTCTAATTAATATTATTATTTTTTTCTATTCTTGCATTTGGTGGTTTGTCTGGTGATTTATTTAAACTCGGGATTTTTATCTGATTAAACTCGCATTTTAATATCATTTGACTAACACCCTTTGATACTATTTATCAAGACGTTGAAAAATCATTCCATCAACGAGAAAATGTGTTTTATTCTCATTGTGGGAAATCTTGCAGTCTGATCATCATGGCAATACGATAGGGCCACCATCCATTATTGTAACGTTAATTAATATGTGATCTGCATAGATGACAAAGTTAGACTTCATTCGATGACATCTTCTAAGGTTGAAGAAGTACAAGAGATTTGGGAGGAAAGGATGGCTGAATTAGAAAACCAGCCAAACAAATCCACGTGGCATGTGTGTGGATTATATTGTTGAACCATCAAAAATATTGTGGTAAAATATCTTCACCCTATTTTTAGGCTAGATGATTTGTTAAATCCAAAGTATTTAGTAAGATTGATATGAGACGCGGGTATATATCATGGATTTTGGATCAAAGAAGGTGATGAGTGAAAAAGAATTTCAAGACCAAATCAGGCTTATATGAGTTGTTAGTCATTCCTTTCGGCTTAGAAAATGCTCTTCGCACTTTCGTGAGATTGATGAATCATTCCTAGGGTTGTTTACATTGATGATATCACAATCTACAACAAAAATAAAGTTGTTAAAATATACAACTATTCGTATCA